CCGTTATGGTATACCCAGTGGCTTGTGTATTATTGGTAAAAAATTCTACTACCAAGAAGATAATGACCCCAAACACTCATCCAACCGATGCAGAGATTACTTAGCTAAGAAAGAAGCTGCTGGAGTCATTCAAATGATGCAATAGCCCCCACAGAGTCCTGATCTCAACCCAGTTGAGCAAATGTGGGATTTGATAGATGAAAAACTTGACAAATCAAAAGTTACTTCCAAAGAAACTTTATGTGAGTGTGTTAGAGACATTTGGAGTAAAATACCAAAGAACACTTTGATTAAATATGTTACAACAATGCATGAAAGACTGTCTGCAGTTATTAAAGCAAAAGGGAGACATAGAAAATATTAACTGTTTGCTGAACTCAAGCATTTCCACTGAGTTTCTGTTGTACTAAATATGAAGATTAATAAAATTTTGATGTTTCACCTGTGATTTATCTTCCATTATTCTTCAAAAGTTGTCTGAAATCTAATTTTTGACTTTGTCCTAACACTTTTCCGCAGTACTGTATCGATTTAAGAAAGTTGACTTGATTATAATTTTGGTATGTTAAAGTTATTTTTTCATATATGCCAATGGCTTTCAAACTGCATGCTTTGTTTCTTTGATTCAGAACAGTGATAAAATTTTCCATTTTGTAAAGTCAAATTAGCAAAAGTTTTAAAATATTGTGGTAAGACATAAAAATCAGTAATTAAAAATCTAAAACAAAGGTAAGCATTTTTAATTATTTCTTAAAAAAAGATATCGCAATGAAATCTTTCTGAAATGTTAAAGATGTGGATTCATAAAAATAATGTTTTATTTTCACAAGTTACATAATCTGTAGAAAATAATGTTGAAGTTTCAAATTATTTCCTTAACAAGTGTGTCAATTCAATGCACCCAGGTCTCATAGAGGTAACTAACCTGAACCATTTTAGTTTCCACTAATAATTACATATAGTTTTACAAGCCTTTATCCATTCATGTAATTGTCTGTATGTCTACATTATTAGGTGCTGTTAACTTGTTGTCTTTACTATGATACATATTTTTGACTTATTGTTATTTTGATATGAATATTGAGCTTGTTTTTGCTTAGATGTTCATTTTTATTCAATTATCTTTACCAGGTAACTAAAATATATGGAATTGCTGGAGTGAAGAAAGCTATGGACCTTCTTGGATATTATGGAGGACCAACAAGATCACCTCTTTTGCCTTTGACTAATGAGGAGGAGGAAAAACTAAAACTATATTTTAAAGATAATGGTTTTCTGTAAGTTTTTTTTTAATGGCTTTTTTTTGTCATACATGCTATTAGCATTTGCAGTTGCTTACTAATTGATGGCTAAATAATATTTAGGAGGAGTCTTGTACACTGGAAATTGTATCAATAAAATATAACATGAGAGTTTTCTCATAGTATTTCTTTTTATTAGTTGCATTTATCTTTCAACTAACAGCTAATGCAAATACAAAAGTAATCCAATTTTTATCAATAAGTTCTTAACTACTTGTTATGTAAGGATTCTATTATGTCATCAGTTTGATGATGTTATTTTATAATACTGATGGTTGGAGGGGTCATCTGTTTTAATGACTCATACCACTATACAGTAGTGTGTTGTCAGTCAGTCAATACACATTAAAATGATGTGACATCAGTAAAACATGCATGTGCCATAAATCACAAGAAGAATTATGCACTCTGTAGATTACAAAACAGCATGACATATGAACTTCAAAATTGAGAAATAAAAATATTTGTTACTTTTAATTTTGGTTTTATTTACTCTTGAAACAGAACACTTTCGAGGATCCAGCAGAAGTACATCATTATTTTAATGAATGACTTTCTCAGTTGTAGGTAATATTGAGTAATAATTTTCTCTATTTTATTATTACAGTTCTTTAATGCTAACTTTTCTGTTTATCAAATATGACAAGCTACACATGTGATTGATTATAATGTTTATATGTCAATACAAAACACTGTAGAAATTAAATATGAATAATCTGCACATGTATTATATAAAATTTAATAGATAATTAAAATCAATGTTTATATTTACACATTTTAAAAACTATTGAAGCTGTCAACAGCTTCCACTTTAAAAGCACACTCTACATGTACATTGTTTTAACAATCTCTGTATCATCTTACTAACTAAATGTAAATGTATGAAGTACACAAAATGTTTTTCACATTTATTACAGAAATTAAAAGCACACTCTACATGTACATTGTTTTGACAATCTCTGTATCATCTTACTAACTAAATATAAATGTATGAAGTACACAAAATGTTTTTCACATTTATTACAGAAATATGTTAAATTGTCCTAAAAATTATTAATATCTTTTTTTTTCTCTGAAAAACTTTAGACCATAATCCACAAATTGTGAATAAAATTTTGGACATGGCAAAGCAAATGGAGTTCTCCAAACATGTAATTCCAAAACATACTTGCACCTTCTCTCACACTACAGCTATTACTCGAGTACCAGAGTTTCTTCTTTGCCCGTCTAAGCATTGGTCTTATTTTTCTTGCTTGCTCCAGTCTTTTATACCACACTTAATTGCACTTAACAATATTTGTCTTGTGACACTCTCTACCTATGTCAATGCGCGCCTTCTATCCTAGTACTGTATATAAGCACCTCATTCAGATAATGTTATCAATTTTTCTCAACAAAGCATAACAAATGGGAGATACTTTGAAAATTCTGTGTTACCTAGTTGATTTTCGTTAAATTTTTTATTTTTTTTTCAATTGGCAAGCCAATTTACAGTATGAATTCCTGGATTATTATTTCAGGCATGGAGGCAAATCATATCTCTCCTATCCCATCTCTGATATCTAGTGTCACACAACAACTGGGGGGGAGACTTACTTTCATTAGAGACTGTCGGTGATTTTATTCGTAGCGAGATGAGACGTATATTTGGTTCTGTGGTGTTCCTTTGGGGGGGCTTCGAGGCTGCAATTGAGGGCAATCCTCGACATTCTAGAGATAATTTAGATTCACCTTTTCCTGCACCTTCTATTAGTCTGTTGGCTTTTCAGAGACCCTGTGGGACCGTAGTGAGTTTATGGAATTGCAATGCTGGAATCCAGAGTTCAATTCCCTATAGTGGACACAACAGATGGCCCAATGTTGCTTTGCTCTAACTAAACAAACTTACCTGACCAAATGTTGTTTCAGTCAATGGTAATTGACACAGTCTTTAAATGACAAAAAACAAAAAGGAGGCCACTTTGGGAAAAGATGCCTTTGATTGGTTTTCTTCAGTAGGAGAGACACCAGCCTATGTGGGAGTCTACTCATAATACCAGTTCAGCTATCCAGTTGGGTTGTGCATGGCCCTTCTGTTTGATCAATGTTGGTTCAGCTCATTGTTTATGGAAGAGTTTGTTCTACGTCCTCTCCATGATTCTGGGGTAAGTGGAATTTACCTTGCCCTCACGGTTGGGGAGTGAGGATGAGTGTTCACAATTCCATACTGGAAGAGTTCTGTTTCCTCAGATTGAGTAAGGCATACACGATTCCGTCATTCCGAGTCTTGAGTGTTGGCTTTCAGACTTCTTCAGGTTGAGGAGAAGGTTTGTTCACTTGAGTGTTGCTTACATACTCATTGTGATTCTGGAACACATCATTCTATGTCTACAGGTTGGAATCTACTCATATATACATATATATATATAGAGAGAGAGAGATTGTGGTTCAATTGCTCTAGCCACCGACATGGGATATAGGAACCATATAATTCCATCCCTAAGTAGTGGAACCTAGGCTATCTGGTTGGGGCTTGTAAATATATGTTACTATTATTCACTATATGTTAAGTGTTTTTGTGATATATGCCCCATGTTAAAAGTGTAGCGATGAATTAAATGGGTATAAATTTTCAAAATTAAGTTTTGAAAAAAGCAATAATTCGTCACTTTGGGGTTCCAGTCTCTATGAAACCAATGCTAAGTGTTGTGTTCATTATAAAAGAAACGTTATGGTGAGAAGAATAAGCAAAATTCTGTGCAAGAGTAAAACCTATAAACACATAGCTAGTGAATTATGGATGATTAATTTAATAACACGTTACACATAAGCATATTAATAAAAAAGGCACATTGAGTCACTTGCACTGAAAGATAATTTTAAAATTAATGTATATTTAAATATCACTTCTGAAGATACACTGGAAGTTGTAAAAACATTTACTTGGCTTATCTTGATTACAGGTATTGCAGCAAAACTAAATCACAAAGTAAAAGGCATATTGTACAGATGATATTCCTTTTATGGATCAATTTTTAGCAAAGTTTTTTTGGATTAATTTAACCTAATAAAATTCACTTTTATTTCATGCTAGAGAGGTTTAAATATATCTTACATATATACATATAATTTAAAGACAACAAAGAACCTGTTGGTCCATCTAAGCTACCCCATCCACTATACTAAATTCTAAAATGAGACACTCAGAGCCAGCTCTTAGCACTCCAATGTTTATCAAGCCTTACCTTACACTTACTTAAATTTCAAAGACCAAACACTCTGTTAGAAAAATAAAGCTGTCAAAATTTAACTCGTGTTTCCTGGTCTTACTATTAATTATATAAAAAAAGGATGATGAGTATCAAATCCTTAACAATCTTAAACAGCTCAATCAGATCACCTCAACTCTTCTTTTTTCAAGAGAAAACAATTTTAGAGAACTTTATCATTGCATGACAACCTTTTCATCACAGGTATCATCCTAGTAGTCCTCCTCCGAACCCTTTCCATCAATTCAATGTCGTCGTCACAGTGGTGGCCAGAACACATAGCCTTTTGGGTAGCTTTGTGCTTAATAACAAAAAACAATCTAACCTAGTACTTTAAATCTTTACTTCTCTCAACTGCAAGCACCAATTAACACTTTCCAAAATAACCATATCTCTGTAACTGAAAAGCAAAGGTTAGAACTAATTTAATTAAATACGGAAAATCATTAAAGGTTCCGAGAGGATGTACAGAACATTTTACAGTCTGTCCAAAGAGTATAATATTATTTTAAACATAGCAATATAAGGATTATGTACTTGTTATTCTTTGGATTATTAACTTTATAAAGTTGTAACACTGTCAGCCAAAAAAAACAGACTTTGCTAACTACCGTATTTTTCGGAATATAAGACGCGCCCTTATTTTGAAGACAAAGTTTT